AATAAGATCTTCAGACTCTTTATTTATAATAAGCTGTGTCTCATTATCTAGAAGATAGATTGAATTAATTACACTCTCTAAGTTCTCATTGATAATTATCTTCAAAATATCTGACTTTTTCTTCACTAGATATTATAGTAAGCAGTGCTGCTATCTCTCTCTGACATTCAGAATATTTAATTCATTAGACAATTCATTGAATTTTCTCACTGTATTTATAGATGTATTTACACTCATGTCAAGAGCTTCATTAAATATGATATCTCATACAATCTCAAGACAACATGCAACAGAATCTCACACACAATATTGATATAATTCTTGATATTCAATCAGCTGTCATTTTCTATTATCAGTTCTATTTATGAGCTTATTCAACACTTTCAAATTCTTCTTGTAGATCTTGTACCCTCATCTCTGTATTTAATAAACAGAAGATTACATCTCAGTTCACACTTTAAAAAATATAAGTAATGTTTCTTTCTTACATTTAAATATCTTTATTAATATTGAGAATGTGTTAATTATCATGATTACAGCTTGTATTACTTCATCTCAAAGTTCTCTTTCTAATTTACTATTAAATAGTAGATTTTATATCTTTTCTATAACTATTCAATTTGTGCATTTCACTGAGTTATTTAATTATAATATGTCAGATGTAGTCATTTCATATGTTATTTCTTTACTCTGATAGTAGATCTTAAGTTCTTGACTTTTGAACTCTTCTTCATTATCTTAGTATAGAATTTCAACTCAATATTATATAGTTATTTTAATACTTATAATAAAATTTATTAATCTTGCAGTAGATTGTCTCTTTCTTATTATAAGAATTACTTATCTATAATAGATTATATTATCTATTATATTTAATCAGTAGCTTACACTCTCTCTAGTGAGAATGTCATTCTCATTAAAAAGTATTTTTTCATTCTCTATCAGATTAATGAAGAATCTCATTATTAGCTTAATAGCTTATATTATAGATGTAAAGATTGAATATGTTATTTTTATCTGTATACAGATCTTACAGAATGACAAAACTCTATTACTCTTTATTCTTATTTCTAGTCATGAATTTACTATTATTTTTACAATATTCACAGAATTCAGATATTCTAGCTTTTAATATTATTATATCATTGTAAGTTCTATAATCTTTGTATCATTTCTTTCAGATAGTATTAATATTGTATCATCTTTCATCTGTAATATATTCACAGATTTAAAATCATTATTAAGTATAATAAATCAGATCAAGTCTCTGTATATAATCAGTCTTTTTATCTTATAGATATCATTCTTATTTAATCTTACTATAAATAAGAACATGCAGTCAGAAGATATAATTAATATAGTATGATTATTCTTATATATCAACTGCTTATAGATATAACTCTGATATATAAGCTTACTCATACTCATGAGATTCACTTCTAACTTCAGAATATAGCAGATATTATTTAACAGTATATTTACTTCTTTCACTGAAATCTTTATATCTTCTATAGCTGTAGCAGAGACTACTGTTTTATCTATTATTTTTAATATTACTTTCATCTTCTAAGGTTTTATTATAACAAGATCTCTATAAAATGTGATATAAGTGTCTAATTCAGAGTCTAGAATTCAGATATCTTTTTCTATCTAATCACTTATATAGATCTTTTCTTTAATATAAAATACTTGCTTTATAATATTATGAATAGAAGCAGTATCTGTATTCTTTATATTCTTATCTTTATTCTTGTTTCTATTTATATTAAAGTTTGAAGAATGTTTCTCAGAGTATTTCTTTCAACAGTCAGTCTGAATATAATTAATCTTTTAATAATAATAGCAGATTCTTGTATTATTATCTCTATATTCAGGTTTGAATTCAGTGTTCTTATTCTTATTATTATCTTTGTTCTTATCTTTCTTATTCTTATCTTAAGTATTATTCACAGAATTTTTTATGAATTCAGTACTACTATTTTTTACAGTAGAAAGATATAGAAGTATATCACAGTATAATTTTATAAAGTCTTCTTTTAAAGATCTTGAATTATTCTTATCAATCTGATTCATTCTATTCTTTATAAAGAATACTTAATCTCTATTAACTTCTATCAGTAATCTATTGAAAAACATAATATCTTTAATCTTATATCTCAGACAGATATAATCAGTTCTGATAATAATTAATTATTTAATAAAAGCTCTGTCAGATTCTTTACTTTTAAAGATTATTTTAATAAGTTCTTTAAATAAATAAGTTCTATATATAGCAGATCTCTTAAAAAAGTTATTCTCTATAATAGTTTATAGAGTATAAGCTAATAATTTAAACTTCTTAAGTATAGTGAAATAAGTTTTAATCTGTAAGATAATTACAGATTATATATAATTATATAATTAAAAATTATATTCTTTTCAGAAATATTATATATTTATAATAATATTCTTATCAAGATTATTATCTTTAAGAATATTATTAGTTTTAGACTATTCTACAGTCAAAAGAATTTTCTCTCTTTATATTAAGTAGTTAATAAATTCAGTGAGAACTATTAATCTTTTAATAAGTCTTACTTAACTTCTGAATTCTTTAAGAACTTTTATTATAATAGATATCTTCTCTTTCTATTGAAGATATTCTGTCAGATCTGTTCTTATTTTATTATTTACAGAGTCATCTCTACTGATCTTTATTCACTCAATCTCATACTGAAGTCTTATAATTTTAAGTCTTATATAAGTCTTCTCACTCACTGAGCTATTATTATTTCAGTTATTTAAGCTCTCTATATTATCTGATATCTCACTGATATCTTTAACTAAGTCTTTATATATATTAAACTTATCAGACTGTTCTTCTATAATAATTTTATCTAATTTAAATACTTCTGAAGTTATCTTCTGATTTATTATTAATATTAATAGTAATCTGTGATCTTGTATTTACTGCTCTGATATTTTCTCATTTCTTCATCTTAAAGATATATATTCTCTTATTAAGTCAGATATCTCTTTGAATCTTAGATTAATTATGAGTTCAATTAATCAATAAAAAACATCTAGACATGTGTAATGATATGTGAAGATGTAGTTAGCATGTTATTGTGATTATTTATTGCTTGCAAAAGAGCTTCATAACCTCTTGAAGAATAATGTTATTGTGTTGTAATCTAACTACGCGAGTTACACTAAATGGATAGGTTGGGGTGGCACGTGACTAGGGTAGGTGTAGTAATCACCAACAAAGTTGGGTGGCACGTGATTAGGGTAGATGTAGTAATCATCAACAATTACTTCCAGGTGGTAGGCTACTAGTTGCCTACGCTTGGGAACAGCGCATGGAGGGTTGAAGAATGTACATATCATAGGCATCAGTCATGAATAAATTATGGCTAGTAACAGTAATATCAACGCTAAATTTTGAGGTGTACATTTCGGCGGCGCTCAATGGAGCTATCCATTCGCGAAAACCGTCTCGATCACTGCAACCCGCTTGAAGATCCCAAGAAGTTAAACATCAGCCAGCTCGCCTCCTCCACAGATTCCATGAGAGCATAAAGGGAAAAAATGCTTTCTTTTTCTTTCTTTTTCTTCCCTTTTCTGTTATTTCACTCTGGTATCAAGAGAAAGTCGATCTTCAGGCTCCAGCTTCACGACAGACTTCAAATGTTCCTTCAATCCCAATAGTCGCTGAGAATTCGCTTTCAACATGTCTGGATTCCCGCTGTCCTGAACCGTAATAGAGGCCTGTAGGACATATGCACCGCTCGTGTCTAGCAGCACCATTTTATCTAAGGGAGGAAGATATTCAGTTGGCGTCAGCGTTTTCGGGCCACCACCAACGCCATCAGCACTTGGTGGGAATGTTAGCACACGGTGCAGAAATAATACAGTGTCGTCCAAAACAAATGTATGGCCTTCAACAACATATTCAGAGACGTAGCTAAAGTGAACAAGTTAGCGCTCAGCCTGGCGGAGATATAAATGTAAATATAGGGGGGAAGGGGTAGAGGGGGAACGCACTCAAACCCCCAAGCAGTCATCTCAGGAAGGATATTGCTAGAAGGGAGATTCGCAGTCCCTACAAACCGAGACGTGACGCCAGATCTGGCTCCGGCCTCTGGTGTATCTTTAAACTCCAATCTCCATGATTGATTCGCCGCTACATAACCCTTACTCACGGCAGCGGTAGCAGCTCCATGATTCATTGGCGTCGATGACCACAATGATCCCTGGCCTTGCTGAGTACCGTCTCCGCCCGCACCCGTACCTTGGGTGACAACATCTGATCGCAAAGAAGCAGAGGAAGAAGGTAATGATGATGATGAAGAAGAAGAAGAAGAAGAAGCTGGCATGGAGCCAAAGTCTCGTTCTTGCACATTGCCCACGACCTGGATATAGTACAGGCCTCCATTCAGGAGCTTATTCAGCCTCTGTGTTTCGGGAGCTTGCACGTCCTGGCTTCCACCCGGGCGTGTTTTAATGAAGCCTGGTTTTCTGTATGCTTTGAAAACTAGACGTCTCTCAAAGGTGCGGGTCGGCTGCATTGCAGTGAGCCCGGAGAGCTGTTGCAGCAAATCATGATGTTGCTTCGCTGGGACGGGAGAGAAGAGCAGTAGTTCATGCATGTGATATCGACGTGTACTTCCCCCAAAGATTTTTGCTCGTGGGTTTATTCTATATGTATTATTATTATGGTGCTGTTGTGATGGAGACGTCGAGTCCTAAGGCAAAGGGTGGAAGGGCTCTGTTCCGGTATGATATGAGCTAGGTAATCAATAGGAAGACTGTGTGTTGGCGGCGGCTGGGCAGACGAAGCGGAGAATATCGGACACGAGAAAATAAGCTGAATGATTGACGGCAGAGAACAAAACCTGTGTGAATTAACTAACTAACTAGTTGCGTATCATTATTGTTCACATATCTCTCGTCAACTAAATTTTGTGTCTGTCAAGTGGACCCGGAGTATCATCACGTGATTTACTCGCGGACGGTAGCCGAGCCGGAGGGTCTTTTTATGCCGTGTTTATTTACATCTACCAGAAGGAATAATAATAATAATAGGGATAATCATGGATGGTTTAGTAGAAAGACTTCTAATTACAGCAACCATGGATGTATGCATCTGGCCCTATGGAAAAGTTACCCAATGAAATACCAAAGAAGCTCGACGTTTCTTGGCGATCACGCAAGCTTGGATGGGCAACGGGGATGCAACTGGAAGTTTTAAGCGCATGAAGGATACCAGCGGGTTAAAAAAGAGCATTTTGTGGCATCCCCGCTGCGCGCCGTGCAGTGGAGTACTTATCCATGCAGCCCTCTGAGCGTAATTGGTGTTCCAGCCAGTTGGAGCTATCCAGACGAACATGGGGATCGGTGGCGGGATTAGTTACATTATTGACTTTTTTTAGCACCACTCCCGGACTATGGAACAAGGATTTGAAGCTGATAACTTCAAGAAGAGGCATGTAAATATTTTGCGAGAATGGCACCGGATGGAGTCTTTGTACCAGGAGAATTGCCAGGGTTGATGAAGTAATTCCAGCAAATTTTGTGACGACGACGACGACAGACGACGACTTGATCAGGCCATTGATGATGCTGGCACCACCGGATAGAATCAGTGCCGTAGACACGTGCATTAGTATTAGCTCCAACAAGATGCCGACATCTGGGGGGATGGGGAAGATAATAAGCTACAGACATACTCCGTACTCTGTTCAGAGTATTTTCGCTGTTGATATGGCGGGGCAGAAAGTCGGCTCGGAAAGTTCGGCGTTGGGCCTTGGAGGTTTGGTTGGCATAGCTGGTTTGCAGCCTGTGATTCGCGAAATCGGGGGGTGAGAGCTTCCACCTCGGCGGTGTGATCGTGAGGGCAAGCAAGCCTAGCTAGCTCGCAAAGATTGCCGCCGTCGGGGCCACGGGCTGCAGAGCACGAGAGTTGACGGAACGCTAGCTTATCTCTGCCCCCTATATCGGGTGCTGATTATTCATTGCGGTGGTCGCGATTATTAACGAAAACACCACTAACTAACTACCAGCAACCAGAACCACCAACCCTCGCCTGTCTCGCCTGTCTCTTCGTCTCTCTCTTTCTCCGTCTCTCTCTTTTACCTCTCTTCCCTTCTCCCTCTTCTCTCCCCGCAGACAACCAATTCCACAGCTGGCAGAAGAGACAGAGATCAAGAGAGTGGTCAATCGGACATATTATATCTTTTCCCATCTCCCGTCAATATCTGCCAGCTAGTTCCGTCCAGCCATCCTCCGTCGTTGAAAATCCGCCCAGCCCTGATCGAAGCATCCATCAAGTTACCACTCAATCCTCTCAACTTCAGCTAACTTACCATGCGTGCTTCATCCCTTCTGCAGCAAGCAGCCGCTGCCAGAGCTCCGCTGATAAAGTTCATTGGAAAACGCTCTGTTCCCAGTATGTTCTCCGCCCGAAGGAATCAGACGGAGGAGATCAAAGCCCGCTCCTCCGACGTCGAAACTTGGAAAAAGAGGAAGAAAGAAGAAAGAAACTAACCTGGGTGCTCTCACTAGAATCCATTGACCGCTCTCCCCGCGTTCATCCCGCCTCCCCTACTCCCGAACTACCCGAATCGTTCGTGAAATACAGAGCCAAGGCCCAGCAGCATGGCCCGCTGAACCACTCGGCTCAAACGAACGGAATCTACGGCGGTGCCATTGGAGGCCAACCGGGTGCATCTCTTGGGCCCGTGGAGCCCAAAAAAGGCGAATACTTCGACCGAAACGAGCTGCCTGAAAGATTCAGACGCCTGACCTGGTCGCAGGAAGAGATTGATGCTGTCGAGACCGGCGGCGCTAGCTTGTTTGCATGAATGTATGGAGCTACAACGGATGATATATTATTATTATTGTCTTTCCTATATATGAATGCTACTAGGACACTCGCGGTTCCTCTGGCCGTCCCAGAGGCGCTAGAAGACCGCGAGCATCATCCCACTAGGCTGGTCCTCGGCATTGGGCAGTCGACAATGTCGCCGTCCTCGATACCCGCTATATCACATCTCTCTTCTCATCCTCATCGAGTCGCCGCTGTTGTATCACCAATTTTCGCTGGTATGGGTATTGCAAGTTGGTTTTTCTCGCGGTATCATAGGTTATGGGGAGCATGGAATAATACGACTCAGTTCTTCTTCTTGCTACTGCTGCTATCTTGTCATTTACCGAGGGGCGTTGTTGGTCTGTTTGTCATCAAATATCACAATTTTGTCAATATTTTCTTCGGGATGTTAAGGGACCAATTCTGTTATGAACACTGTTTTGGTAGGCCAGGTTCTTCTCTCCTGCAATTACATTCCTTGTCAGATAAGGTGTACAGTACTATCTGCTCAGCCATTATTACAACTACTGTTTCCTTTAAACCTACTATTGTTACTCCTTCGAATATTTATTCCGGGATGACCACAAGCAAGTAGCAGACGGACGTAGCTTGCCTCTAGAGGGGGGCAAAAAAGAAAAGAAGAACAGAAGAAAAGAAGCGACCAGGGAAAACCTTCTCCCGCACCACCAATTCGACATCATTGAACCGGCCTATCCTATGCAGCCCTAGCAAGCTCGGAAGCACAGCTTCAGCAAATGACCGTCGCAGAAAAATAGTCAATCCCCCCCAACCTCTCCGAATCCAGAATCTCAACATCGACCTCAACAATAAGTGATTTGCGCAAAGTTGAACACCAAGCACCACACCCTCCCTTTCTCTAGCACCTCCCCCTCCCTTAGACCCCCACAAATAACTTGCATCCAATCACACAAAACTCATGTTAAACCAATCAAGAAAACCACAATGCCACCCGTCCACGGCGCGATAACGGTGAGGGAGACGAATGAAATCGGCGCAACAACAGCGACATACATCTACTCTACAACACCGGAGCCAATCCAACTGCCCACCCCGGGTTCTTCTGAGAATGACAGTATTCGCCGTGAAAGGCGGAGAGTAGATATTGTTGTAGGTTTATATATATACTTTGTCTTTTTCCAACTTACAGAGTTATCGTTTGTTTTTCTTTCTTCCACTTTCTATTTCGAACGTGTACTGTGCTGGAAATGTCCCGAGTATGCATCTGATATGCATACGTCCATTGTTTCGCATGCATTTCCGCTTCGGACTATATCTATCCATGAGAACATTAGGCCCTGCGTAATGCCCTGCATCCTTTCCCCACACCAAAATTGCTCTAACTAACCCTCTTCCTCCCGCAATCATTGTGGCGGTCTGGCCTGTGTCCGGGGCCGTAAGATACTTACATCCATACCAAGATATCCATCACATCCCAGCGCCCAGTTAGGAAATATCTAACCTCACCACCAGAGCCGCATGCCTCTCCTCTCATCTCATCTCTTACCATATCACTTGCTAACCTTTATATATCTATCTAACCCCTTAGCCGCCTTCACGAAAGGAATCATTGTCTTCTCTCACGTCGCTGTTGAATGTTTTTCTACCGGTGGGATACCCACATAGTGTCAGCGATGACTATCTAGAGTGAGCTGCTGTTGCCCTTTCTTCTTTACAGCCACGTTCAAAGCTCCTTGTTTCTTTTCCTGTTTCGTTTTGTTTGGCGGTCTCGTGTTTTACAAAGGAGCGAGTAGTTGTCCCCCTATTTTCACTCGACGGAATGACCTATCTCCATTTTGTCTCTTGTTTCTCACATGCTGTTGGAGGCCGAAGCTGACTAGTTCCACCTATGAATATCTACCTTCTCAAGGTATCAAATATATGTATGTGTGCGACCACTATCATGTTATAAAAATGACTCAGATCTGACCACATAGCTGTACAGGATTCCCTGCAAGCGTTCTCAAGCTCGATTGCTGGACTATTGGCATCCCGGGCTGTATTACAAGGTATTGTTCCTCTCGAGGTACACGATCCATCAAAATATCAAAATATCAAAAACTAATATTTCCGTCAATTTTTATTAGGCGTTGGAGTAGGAGATGCATCCGCATCCCCGACAGTAGCCTTGCTACATAGCGTCCTGCATGACAGCATGGGCAGGATAGCAACAATACTCTTCGCCCATCGTCTTGGGACGTCTCTCGAGCCCGAATGCAAGATGTATAGGCTTGCTGCTGACGTTCTCAATGACTCAGCGATGGTCTTTGATTGCCTCTCGCCAGCGTTTCCGAAGCACCTGAGAATTGTGGTTTTGGCTTGCTCGAGTGTTTTGAGAGCGCTGTGTGGGGTGGCTGCTGGGAGTTCAAAGGCGAGTTTGAGTAGCCATTTTGCGAGATGGGGGAATTTGGGGGAATTGAATGCTGTGAGTTGTTTCCAGCGTGCTAATTCTATTCTTCTGGGGGAATACATACGGGGAAATATGGGCCTGTCCCGTTTACGGTTCCTCCTACATTTGTTCTAGTGCTAACGAAAAGTTCCAGAAAGATTCAAGCCAAGAAACAGTAATATCGCTCTTAGGAATGCTGGTAAGTAGATAGCCCATACAACTAAGGTCATTGATTGCTCCTTATAGCTAATTGGCACGATTACAGTGCGGAAGCCTCGTTGTCTCACGCGTCTCCACCCCCTTTGCAACATGGGCAACTCTCTTATTTCTCCTCCTAGTCCATCTGTCGACAAACTACGCCGCAGTGCGCTCAGTTAACATGACCACTTTGAACCGCCAACGAGCCAACATCGTCTTCTCAACTCTCTTCGAAGACGGCCGCGTTCTCACGCCAAAACAAGCATCCAAATGCGAAAGGATATTCGAGCGCGATGGGGTTCTCCGCTGGAAAGCATCCGCAGCGACCCTGGGGTCCTGTCGGATAGGTGTTTCTTTCCAGGAGCTACTGTGTGGTTCTCGGGGCCGAGTAAATTCCATTCGTGACATCAACATTGATATCCGGAGGCTTCTGCATCTGTTTCGAGAGGAGGAATACATCCTGTGGTTCAACTCCAGCGATAAAGGGGGAACTATCGTCTTGAAGAATAGTGTGACACCTCTATCACAGCTCAAGGCCTGGAGTCATGCCCTGATGGTTGCGAAGCGCATCGCGGACCTGAGAGAAGGGGCTGGTAGTTTGTCTGGGAAGGAAGGCAATGGAGAAAAATCTTCACGGCGAGACCAGCAGAGGAATAAGGATGATTCTATCGCCAACCTAACCGACCCAGATACCATATTCTCGATTCTTGAGTCCACGCTCCATAGCCATTCTACAAGCTTCAACGGCCAGGTAGCAATGTTAAAAGATGCTGGATGGGACGTTGACACTCCCTCCCTGGAAACCAGGCCAGCCAGGAGGTTTCAGATCGTGGAGTGAAAGTATACTTCAATTCTTTTTTTCTTCCTGGAACCTGTCTCATATGCGATCTGATTGTCTCCTATCTCATATACGTGATTTTTCTCAAGTGTGTCTCGATGATGACATCGTTTTTCCGGGGTTCAGACCAACATGGCCACCTCATCTCGATGAGATGACAGGGATTATCATGTTTCTAGAGGCCATCGTGTTCTCACCCCCAGCGCACGCCTGGAAATAAATACACTGAACTTAAAAATACAGATACCATTCCAATATTTATGAAGGTTATGATAAGAAAAAATGGGTTCCATCGATGAGAAAACTGAACCTCCACTGTTTACAAAAAGCCCCCAACCGAATGTCATAAATCCCTAATTGTCCAGGGACCTTCACACTTCACATGATATAATATCCCACAACTCCACCACTACTACCACCACCCACGTCCTCGTATTAATAATAACATCATTCCCGCCAGAGACAAGACCAGACCAGACCAGACCAGGCAGCTACAAAGGCAACCACGCACCCCACAGGGCGCAAACCTTCCAAGGAAGACCCTTTAAACTGGCCGAATAATCATTCGTTCATCGTTCATCGTTCATGGAAAGAAACATTTGATAACCAACCCCACCCCGGAAGATTCCGCTTGGAGTGTCAATTAAAGCCAGAATTGGAGACAAAAAAAAAAAAAAAAAGCCGAACCCAGCCTCTATCAAAATCGAAGCCCGCCATCAAGATTTGCAAAGAGGCGCTGAACTGGGGGTGTGCAGTTTCAATGTGTGATGTGTATATGCTGTGTTCATCTCCCCCAGGAAATTTTGTAAACAGCGGGAAGTAAGCATGATTGTTGTCTGTGCTTGCTTGCTTGAAATTAATTTGAAAGTTCTTCTTCACCTATCTATGTAAGTACTCTCCTAAGAAGCTTTTGGTCTTTTCATCATTCTTAAATTTTAATAATTTTCTTTTGTTGATTTATTTTATTTTGATTATTATTTTGTTTCTCCTACCCCCCTCTATCTCGCTTTCTTTGCATGAGTTCTCAAGTTTGAGAGAGCGAGAAGGGGCCAGAATAGCAGGTATATATATAATGTAGAATCAAAAGGAAATAATCACCTCAATGATATCGAAATAAACCGTAATAAAATAATAGTTGTTCATGAAAAGTAGTTAACACTGTTCGAAACAAAAAGGAGGAGGAAATTGAATATCTATTCTAACTTTCGTGACATGTGAAAGCACAATAGGAAAAACAACAACAAAAAAGCAAAAATAGAAGAAGATTGGGAGAATGAGAGATATAGAAAGAAAATAGAAAGAAAATACTCAGGTATTTCATTAAACCTAGGTAGATCCAGCCCAAAGTCACAGGCCTTACCCACCACATACAGGTTAGATAGGTTAGATACGAGGAGAAAACTGAATATAGGTTCAAGTTGAGACTGTAGAAGGGCAAGGGGGGAAAAAATGTAAGAATGAAATTCGCATGCTATAAAATTACCATTAATGCAAGTAATGGGTATACATGCCACACAAACACGCATACACACAAAACTAAAAATAAAAAATAAAAATAAAACCGGGAAGAACGGGAGAAAGAAAAACCGGCCGTGTTTAAAATGCAATAGAACCAAAAAAGAAAAACTAGATATGCGGAATATGGGGGAGGAAGAAAATGGCTGATAACATGCTGATGAGGAAGCCACACTGGCACATACACGCGTAGAGAAATTGTTTTGGGGGTTGGGGGAGAGTATTGTCGAGATAAGTGCAGAGATGAGGTGAAGGTATAGTTGGCGTGTCTGTGTCTGTAGGTGTGGATGAAGTTATGTCGTGAGGTGAGAGGCTAGGGGCCTGGGAGAATGCTTCATGAATGCTTCATATGCAACGCTCATATATGTCGGGTAGTGGTGGTCATGGTAGTAGTAATATCATCCAAAATGAAAAGGGGAGACGTGGGATCGAGCAAGAAAGGGCTGGATACTACTCCAATAATCTATTCCTCTTCAGGCGCAGGAAACCGGCCATCCCTCGACCCGGGACCGCCCCCTGGCCTCTTTTTCCAACCAAGTTTCATACCCATCTTCTTCCAAGCATTTTCCGGTCTTGTCTTGGAGCTTTGTCCCTGTCCGTGCCCCTGGTCGCCATAATGCAAACCCATATCGCTGAATGGTGGCGTGGTTGGCGGAGTCATCGGTTCACCAGCACCAGGGCTGGATGTCATGCTTCCGGAATCATCAGTGAGGTTGGTGGATCCGGAGTCACCGCTGGTGGTTGGGGAATGGGTCTGGCCCGAACTTCGAGATTCTGACGACCAGCCCGCCGACGTGTGGGACTGTAGGGCGTACCCTGCCATGGGCGAACGTGGCGAGGCAAATGACGATTGAGGTGAGAGTTTCCGGCGCATGGAAGTATGGCGGCCCATTTGGGAATCATCCTGTGCCGTTGATTCGTCGAAGGGTGAATATGACGACGATATTGGAGGTGGACTTTGGCTTTTAAGGAAAGGAATGAATATGGACTCTTCCATTAGATCTCGCATACGTTTGACAGCGGAATCTAGTGTTTCTGGTCGAGGCGGTGTGGGAGAGTTAGAATGGTTCAGGAGGTCGTCTCTGACCTCACTTGATACGTTGATCTCGCGTGGTGATGCGGGAACGATGTATGCTGTTAATATCCTCTGGAAGAGCATACGGAGATGTTGCGTTCGAGTAGGGTCTGCATAATACGTGTCGCGATATCGCTTCGCTTCCATGGTGAATTCTAGTGTCTCTAAACAGTGGTTCTGGGAAAGGAAAGCCATGAAGGCAGAGAGTGTGTAGGGAGGTGGTGAGGTGCCGGCTAATACATCATCCAGGGTAGGTCGAGCACCGGAGTGAGGGATAGCAAGACTGAGCGGCCTGGAACCCGACTGCCAGCGTTCCATCGTGTTATCGTCGTCCGAGTCGCAATCCGAGTAATCAGGGGACTGTTGAGGTGTAGAGTCAGGAGTGAGGGACCGGAATAAGAGGGCAGAGTATCGCGAGGTGCCCGCAATCATTGCGCCCAGTGGACAACAGAGCCCAGTCTGCTTCCAATTCCTTCGAGCCTGTTTCCGGCCTCTTTTCCCCGCTAGGCTTCCAACCCTTGTTTCCAGCCCTTCTGCTGTTGTCGCCGTTGTTGTTGGTGCTGCTACGAGCTGAGACGTTTTGTTTAGTCTGCGCAACGGTGCGTTCAACGCCAACACTACCCCGTCGTCCCAGGAGTGCTTGACAACCTTCCTTGACGAATCCAAGATTAGGGTACCTTTCTTCTTCTACTTCTTTTTCTTCTTCTTCTCCTTTGTTTTTATTTTCCTGCTCTATTCTATCCCCAAGGGTACCTAGTCGAGGCTGGCAGACCCAGGGAACCAAGCAGCCGGGGGGATCTTTGGAGTCCTTTATTTTGTTGTAGGTACACCAATACAAATGGGGAAAGATACCCGGTTAACAACCACTGAATTTGCGTGGATATCCAGGAACAAATTAACTCCGTCGAAGATAAGGAAGGTTAAGGATTATCCAACGGAACGCACACAAGGCCACACAGCACACAAGGTCAACCCAGTGTTGGTTCTTCGAGCTGAATGGCAGACTGAAATTGTCGTCGAGGAGGGCAGAAACGACTGATATTTATATTAGATTAGAATGCATTAATTATCCTGCGCCTTGAACAGGGAAATTACCAAGAGAAAGAAGATGGCAATAGTAGTTGGGACAGCACACTGGGTGGTGATGGTATGAATTAAATAATAGACGACGTCCACAGGGTACAGACACTGTGTGGGGAAGAGAGAGAGAGAGAGAGAGAGAGTGTGTGTGTGTGTGTGTGTGTGAAGAGAAAGCCAAACAGTTGGCGTACAGAGTAAATAGAGGAGAGAGAGAGGGAGAGAGAAAGAAAGAAGACGAGAAGGAAAAGAAGATAAGGATATATGTATGTCTCTGTGTGGGTGAGGAGGAGAAGGAAAGAAGAAGTAGTTGAGTAGAAGTAGAAGAAGAAGAAGAAGAAGAAGAAGAAGAAGAAGAGGAAGAGGAAGAGTCCTGAGTAACTTACACGATAGTCTGCTGCAACACATCACATCAAACCGCGTTGTTCTTCCTGTTCCTGCTCTCTCTCTCTCTCTCTTTTCTTCTTCTCCTCGTCTTGTTCTCGCTGCTGGCAGTTGGTTTCCCTGCTACTGTTGGTTGGCGTGGACAGGGATCCATACCGAGTATTACAGGGGTTCGGTAATTATTTTCTTCTAGAATATTACTCCGTCACACCGTACCCGTATCGTCAAGGCGCCGATCTCGTCCGCCGATTACGTATGGCCTGTGTAACGATGCTCTGGTCGGCGGTCCCTTGCCAAATTCTCCTGACTCAATCACCCAGTATCTTATCATTACCGAGTTTGTATTTAATCTGTACATGTACTGTACGTATCTATAGGTGTGTATCCCATACAGCAAACGGCCCCTGGCATGTTTCGCCTTTCGATTCGGTAATGTACTGTACCAAAATATCAGACCGAACCTTAGAGATGGGAAAGATAGATTCACTCCACCCCGGGTTCGTTCCCATCTCATCCATGGAAAATTCGTGGTTCCCTGCCGGCAGTCGAGCCGCAAAAACAACCTTGGGACAGGAAAAAAAAGAAAGAAAGAAAGCAAGAAAGAAAGAAAAAAAAAAGTCAAGCCGTGCTCCAGCAACCCAAAAGGCCAGTTGCTCGAGTTTCTCTCCAGCGTGGCGGCGGGCTTTATGCTTGCCAAGGAAATCTTGAATCTTCCCCTTCCCATCTAAAAGTCACCCACACTAATCACGTCATACACCTCATCTGTACCTAGCATCGCCGCACTAATCTACTCAAATGCAAAAGTCTGACTAGGGTGTATAATTTTAGAGGCGTAGTTCGACTGGAAGTTGTAATGTACCGCCGCGAAGAGAAAAAATAAAACCGTACGCCCCGCGTGGCGACAGCCAGGCCTTCCAGAACAACTACCTTTATCCGACAAATCGCAAGAATAGGGGATAAGATAGAAAGGGCGATTGAAATGGCGAATCGCCGCTTTTCATCATGACATGCAGGTTGTTAGACTCATAAAACCTCTTGGGCAGACAACGCACTGCCTAGGCTGATGGGGCAAAGGGGTAGTTGATCTCTGCAAGTATCCAATCACTAATAAAAAATGATATCCATTTGAACAAACTTTCAATTGATATTCCAACAATTAAATACATGCCTCAACCTCCAAATAATGTTTCTATCCCAGGCAAATACGAAATCTGCTGAAAATTGTGAGAAAAATAAAACCTTATATAAAATACTAGGAGAAATACCAGAACAATACCAAGGTAAGCCCGTCAACACGGAGAAAAGAAAACAGAAAACCCTTGGAAATTACTGCCATGGTCCAGTGCCCAGAAAGAGGGCTGAACAATGCCAGTACCAGGCAAATACAAGAGATCCACGATTAGCGCAAGGTCTATCTGCAAACCAAGCGGGGGGTTTTGCCCGCTTGCCAACTCACTTGGTTGGTGTCGTTGGTTGTTTGTGTTGACGCCCCCCTCGCCGCTTTCTTCGCTGGTTCTGCGGTGTTCTTTTTAAGTGGGGAGGAACCCAGTTAGCCAGTTAGCTGCCCACAATCTCTAGTATTTACCGCCCGTCGCGTCGGGGAGGATGGTCTCTGGGTCTCTGAGTCTCTGAGGGGTCTGTGGCGTGCAGGCTGTACGCAGTAGGCGGTAGGGTAGGGGGGTTGACTGAAGCCTAATCGTCGATAAGTTGAACAACTACCGACAAGCCAAGAACAAGGCAATAATACAAGCGCCAGACTAACTGATCACTAATATTTCTCTGAAGTATCCATGAATCACGGAGACACACATATGGAGAACTGTACTGGGAATTTTGATGATTACGGGATCAATAGCTGGAGATTATCTTACAAGAAGCTTTTTGCGACACTCATGCCAGATCATATCAATCTAGGTTATCCTCAAGGATTATTTGGCGAGTCAGCAAAAAATCATCACGTCACCCTCGTCATCGGCCTTTCAATTGTCAAACCAGGTAGAAAGAGAGAAGAAGAAAGAAAAAAAAAAAAAAAAAAATAAAAAAAAAAAAAAAAAAGAGTGGGGCGTGTATCCGCAAGGCACTCCTCTCATTAAATGAGCCGACTAGTTTCGGGGCCTGATCAGGTGGTCAATCAAAAAGTTCGCAAAAACTCCACCGTTCCCCCCAACCACTCAAAAAAAATGGAGAAAAAAAAAAAAAAAAAAAAAAAAAAAAAAAGAAAGAATGAAGAAAGAAACCCGATAAGTTTTAGCCTCTTTGCCTAGAACTTGCTTTTGCCTTTCAACCTCTCACGCCAAACATCCATGACATGACGGACGGGGATCTGGCCCCTCCTCCCTCCCTCGTGAATAGCTGATTTATTTACTCTATATACTACTAACTATTTCCGTACGTGCATGTATGAGCGTTGAAAGTGGGAGGAGATGAGGGAAGGAAGTCTACTTATTTTTGGTGGAATACGTTTTTCAAGACCCCTCTCTGGCCCCTTCCAAGTTCTCACGACTTTAACGGTACAAGTTACTGTGAAAGAAAGGAGAGCTCTGAAGGAATATCCCATGATCCATGTCTAGATAATGTCTAGATGTCTAGGCTCTACAGGCATACAATCAACAAATTTGTCCTGCTCACAGAGGAAATAATAGACAGACAGATTTTGCAAGGCTCAGAGCATGGAAAAGTTACCAATCACCGGCCCCGAGCGGCCGTGCCAAGAGCCTCCACCGATCGGTGAAATCTTCACAGCTTGATTATTCTTACATCTCTATGATAACAAACTCCTGCAGCATATCAATAATCAGAAGGCGATTTCTCAGTCATATATATATGTCTCTTGAGTGAAGCCTGTCATTCATAGACTGACTATGTAGTATGTCATAGATTTAAAGCAGCTACTTTCATAAATTGATAAAATATCTTAATGCACACGAGCCTCTGATTGATTGATTGATTGATTGATTATATCTTTTAGTTGATGTCTGCATCCCGTAAGGGCGCTATGCAACTGGTCTCGATCTAGCCTAATTAGGTATCTTAAGCGGGGCCTGGCAGGGCCTCACATGCTGTCACACAAATATAGCCCTCAACACCTTGACATCACAAAGTCAAACAACTATTATTATTATTATTATTCTTCAATTATAGATGTATGCAGTCAGAGACTATGACATCTATCTGAGAACTTTTAGTTCTCAGGGTTTTTCCTATATCTGTAAAGTTAACTATTATACATTCATTAATTTCAGATATGTAAAATCAGAAAATTCCAGCTCAGAATACAAAAACTGTTTACAAATTACAGTGTTTTAACATCTTCTGATACTTTGAAATCATTTGACAATATCATGACAAAGGAAAAGAGAACACAGTCTTAAAGATAGACATATTAAATAGATAGATAGAAAGAAATTGAAAGAAAAAGATAAAGTAAAGAAAGACTGTAATAAAATAAATTATTAAAAGATAGTATACAGCTGTTTTAATAGACTATATCTGATTGATTTTCTTCTCTTTATATTCAGATAATTCTGAATTTAGTCATTTTCTTATAGCTGCTTAAGTTTCTGATAGAAAGTCTATTAAGTATTTAATTTCTGTCTCAGTTAAGAATAAGAATCTTATATTTAATTAATTTAGATTATACTTCTCTTTCAATCTGACTCTGAGACTATTGTATAATGCACAGTGTATTATAATATACTCAGAATTCTCATTTATATTACAGAATAAGTATTCTATTGAGTCAAATCTATCATTAAATCTTTATATATAAGATTTGAAATAGTCATGTTCTAGTTTCAGCTGTATTATAGATGAGAATATTTTCTTTTTACATTTAATTAAACAAGATTTTCACTTGGATTTTATTTCAAATCTTGAATAATGTATACTCTTCTTTTATTTCTATCAGCTTTCATTTTACTTATCTAAACAAGATTCTTTTATTTTTCTCTTTATAAAAGATTAGAACATAATTTTTTAAATAAATCTGCTTAATTCTACACTCTTTTTTACAGCTGAATGAGTCAATTCATTGTTATAAATATTTATATAAGCAGGAACTCAGTACAGATGAATTATCAGCTTTAATATTCTTCTCTTTTGAATTTTCAAAACAGAGTTTAAGATCTGTTTAAGATTCATTTAATCATTATAAATCTGATTATTTCTAAGTCTTTTTAAAGCAGCTTGACTATCAGAGAATATTCATATCTCTTTCAAACAATTTCCTCTTTTATAAGATTTTATTTCAATGAGTTTGAAAGCTTTCACTATTATAAATAGTTCAGTATCAAAGACTTCATATTCACAGTCTAGATTTCAGAAATCTGAGATAAAATTGATATTATCTTTAGTATAAGCAATGTCTGCATTTAATCTATTCAAGTTCTCATTTTTTAAGTCATCTGAATAAATCAGAATAGAGTCTTTTATATTGATTATAGAAATTGTCTTTAAATACTGTTCATATTCTTTCTCTTTTAATAGTTCACTTATTTATAAGTCTATAAGAGATTCAAGCTTTTCTCTTCAAAGAGATAACTTCTCATGATCAACTTTTTCAATATTTAAAGAAGAAAATTGATTTTTAATCAGAGAGTATAGTCTATACAGTTAAGAAGACATTTTCTTTGAAGAATTATTTTCATTTTAATCAAGAAATTTATTTCAATTCAGTTCATTTCCAGAGTTAATTAATAGAAATAAAGAAGAGACTCTTTCTCTGATTATATAATTTAAGCTTATCTTTACAACTCTCAGAGTATAGTTCATACAGGTCTTTTCAAATCTAATAGTAGAAGAAGAAATTGAAGCTTCAATTTTCATTGCTTTAATAGAAGATGATTTGAATGCTTTCAGAATTCTTCTTAAGACTCTGTTTTACAGACTTTGAAAGAGTTCAGTGAAATTCTCTTAATTATTTCATTAAACTTGAACTTTATAATCAGCTACTGATGTAATACAGGCTATATATAACTGTCTTATAGCCTGGAAGAATAGACCTCTCTCTGTATTTGATAGTCTGATTATATTGTTCAATAGTCTTTCTGTCTTGACAGTTCTTTATTATATATAATATTTAAAATTCAACTTAGAGTTTAATCATACTTCTAATCATTTAATATTTACACTGAGTTTAATCTCTCTATTTAAAAGAGTTAGAGATAGTTCTTTCTTATTGAATCTAGAAAAGAAATGAATTAACTCAGTTTTATTCATATTAAATTAAATTTAATTGATATCTGCTTTAATAAAGATTTTCTTTACAGCTTCTTCAATTACTTTTAAATTCTCTTTGATAGTTTTTGAGCTGTAGACTAGATCAATATTATTCATATAACTCAGAGATCACACTATTCTCATATTTCTATTTTTGAATAGATATACAGTGTATATTATAAATAAAATAAGTGAGATTGAAGATCTCTATAATACTTCTATTTTTATCTCAGTCTTATCTTATTTCATTTCATCAAAGAAGAGTTGTATAATTCTTTTAAATATAAAACAGTTAACTTATTTTATTAGAGAAAATGACAGTTTTAATATCTTCAATATCTGAATTAACTTTGACTTTGAAACATAATCAAATGCTTCTTTTATATTAATAAAAACTGCAGTTGAGACCAGACTCTCATGCTTTGCTATTTGAATATTATAAACAACTGAGAGAACAGTGTTAATTGCAGAACACTGTTTTCTATCTCTCATTTATTCACTGAATAAAAGAGAATCACTTATAGAGCTTATAAAAGATAGTTAAGTAGCTATTATCTTTTCTAAAACCTTTTCTAGACAGTTCAATAGAGATATTACTCTATATGACTTAGAAATTGAAGTTTTTTTATTAGATTTTGCAAGAATCACTTCAGTAGCTTCTCTTCAGCATTCAGAATGATATTCATTTTTCAAGAGATTGAAAAAGAGCTCAAAATATTCATTCTTTAAGTAGGAATATGTATTTTGAATAATTAAGTGATTAATTGAATCAGGATCTGCAGCAGTTTTAACAGAACTTGAGAAGATAGCTGACTCTAATTCATCTTGTGTAAGATCAGGTCATTCTCAGTCATTTTCATCAATATAGTTGAGAAGTAATATATTCTCTTTCTCTGAATCTGAATCTGAATCTGGTGAGTTCTGAAAGAAAATTCTCATGAAAGCTTGACATTTTTTCTCAAAAGAGTTTGCTATATATGATTCATTCTGAAACTCATACTCTAAGACTGGAAGTTTTGCTACACTTCTTGTTTTAGTATAGTTAAAAGCTTTAAAAACTTCCTTCTCTTATGCTTCTTCAAGAAATTTATTCCAGTAGTCTGTTTTAGCTCTTTTAATATCTGAAAAATATTCATTTCTGACAGCTTTGAACTCTTCATCAGATATTATATCATTCTTTCAATCTCTTCTAGCAGTAGCTAATTCTTTTCTTTTAGATGAGATATTCTTATTTCATCAATGTTTTAAATACTCAGAAGATTGTCTCTTTAAAATATTATCTCTAACACTTGTTAGAATAATAGATGTAATAAGCTTCACTCTATTCTCAAGCATTTCATTTGAGATATCTTGACCAGAATTTCAATATAGCTCATTCTGTCTTTCAGATTTTAACAGTGTTATACTTTCTTTAACTGCTTTTCAATCAGCTTTTTCAAAGTTATACTGATTAGAGAGAAGAGGATTTTCACTCATTTGTTTTTCACTCAGTTTAATATTAAATTAAATAATCTCATGATCTGATTCTGATGTCTCATTTAAATTAATAAATCAGTTTACAAGTCTTCTTTTTATTAGATTTTATAATATGAAGATTAGATCTATAATAGACTTCTATTTCATGCCTTTTCTAAAGAATGTTTGTTGATCAGACTTATTAATCAAATCTATTGAATGTTTAAAAGTTCATTTAATCAGATTATCAGCTCTCACTGCTCTCTTGCATTCTGAATTTCATCAGAGATGATGTGTATTGAAATCTCCTGCAATTATAGAGTTTCTTGATAAAGTTATGTTCAGAAATTCTCTATTAATGATTCAGATATTGTTATTTTTCTTC